GAGACAAAAGCTGGCGGCAGCGGACCAAGGCGGTGGCCGACGCGCACGACGGGCACCCCAGGGACCGAGGTCAGTCGGAGTCGTCAGACCCCGCAGACCTCAGAAGTGCAGCGCGCCCTCGAGCGACACGAAGACCGCGAGGAAGCAGCCGAACGGCACGTGGAGCACGAAGTACAGCTGCCACACATAAGCAGGAGGGGTAACATCACTGCTGCTTGCATTCCGCCTCCTGCGGGGGGCCGATGCCAGAAGCCTGCGAAACTGCGCCCTGCGGTACCTTCAAGCCAGGATCGGAATACACAGGGCTGCGACGAACCACCTCATTCTTGCGGTTCTTCGTGGAGAGACCTCGGCGATCTCGACAACCGCAAGCACCTGCACTCTGATCTTCACTATCGAGATCTACACCACCCTGGCGAAACGAACCAGGGGCGAAAGAGAAGGGGACTCCTCGCACACCTCCTCCTCGACCCTCTTCGCCCGCGGTTCCCAGCTCCTGCACCGAGCCCTGCACGAACTCGGCGTCGGTCTGCGAAAGCTCCGCGTCGGGCTGGGCGTCGGGCTGGGCGTAGGGCTCCTCGGTCACCTCGTACTCTGTGGCGTCGTGCGACCAAGGCTCAGATGGCTGGAAGCACTCCGCCTCGGCGCGGAGCGCGCTCGACCGTGCAGCAGCTCGAGGCGTCCCCGTGCCGCGCGGCACCCCAGAGCATTCAGCCGTGCTCGACGAGAATGCGACCGCCCCGCATGTGCACCGCGTGCCGACGGATTGGTGGGATTCCATCGGCTCCCAGCGTCCCAGCCCCAAACAGAAAGCGGGGACGTCGTTGCAGAGAGCCGAGGGCGCTGCCGTGGTCTCTATGGCCGCCAGACCCTCGCGCTGGAGCCTGTTGAGCGCCGTCTGCGAAGCGCCCTCGATGACCGCCACGGGGACGTCGAAGGCGTGCGACGCCAGGTTGCGCTTGGCTCTGGCGGTGCCAGGGGCCCGCACCCCTGCGAGGCCAGCTGCCATGACAGGCACGATCAGCCGAAGACGACGTCGCAACTCATCGCAGCGGCCTCCTTGCCCTCCGAGAAAGAAAGCTTCGGCATCCTCCTCCAGCGCCGAGACGAGGCCGTGCGCCTCGTCGAGCTTGGCCTGGAGCTTGGCGATGGCTCCATCCGCCGCCTCCCGGGCCCGCCACGCCGCAGCAGAGCGCTCCGCCCGGGTCCTACCACGAGCCCCAGAGAGGGACCCGTCCCGCGCCATGCTCCGTGAGCCAGAAGCCCCGCTCCCCCAAGTCCCCCCCGCCCGCCAGCGTTGCGAGGAGGAGGAGGAGGAGGTGGAGGTGCAGGAGGTGCAGGAGGTGCAGGAGGTGCAGGAGGAGGAGGAGGAGGAGGAGGAGGAGGAGGAGGAGGCGGGAGAGGAGGAGGAGGAGGAGGAGGAGGAGGCGCTCTGGGTAGGGAGGCTCTGGAAGAGACAGCATCAGATCGTTGGCGCTCCGGGTATAGTAGATCGGGTATGGCGTGTTTTCCTCCTCGAAGAAGAAAAACGCCACAATTACTCCGACGGAAGAACCCCACATAAGAATCCTCTGGGCGAATCTGGAAAAAGCCATCACCGTCGTCCTCGTGGCTGGTGAGGCGTCCTGGCTGTCTCTTCTGCGTATATTTCCTCTCGCCTTGGCGCGGGCCCCCCTTCCACTCCTTACGTTGTCCCCATCCTCGCCCCCCTGTTTGTTCCGCGCCCCGCCACCTCCTCCCCTTCCTGTTGCATGAGCGCGCATGTCGATGTTCCTCGGCGCCGTCGCCGCCACGGCCAGCACAGGCGCGTTCTCTACTGGTCACGTCGCGCAGCCGTTGGGACAACCCCGCGGGCCAGGCTGTCGGGACAACCCCGCGAGCCGTTGGCCCGCAAGACCAAGCCGTTGGGACAACCCCACAGGGTGCGTCCCAGTGGATACGTGCCGGGCCACGACCCAGAGGAAGCGCACAAGAGTGCGTCCCAGTGGATACGTGCGGGGGCACGACCCAGAGGAAGCGCATGGGAGTGCGTCCCAGTGGATACGTGCGGGCCCCATAGGGAGGGGGCTCCCGCCTGAGACTTCCTCGCAGTTCACTCACAGACGAGGCTCCCGCCTGAGACTTCCTCCATATTCAGGCCGCCCAAAGTGACGACAGTTACAGGTTCCGATTCTCGGATTACCAACATGATCTGCGGGCCCCATAGGGAGGGGGCTCCCGCCTGAGGCAATTTGAGGCCCCGGAGCCCAAAAGTGACGACAGTTACAGGGTTCCGATGACCCGCTCGGATTACCAACATGATCTGCGGGCCCCATAGGGAGGGGGCTCCCGCCTGAGACTTCCTCACAATTCACTCAGAGACGAGGCTCCCGCCTGAGACTTCCTCCAAATTCAGGCTTGACGAGCCCAAAAGTGACGACAGTTACAGGGTTCCGATGACCCGCTCGGATTACCAACATGATCTGCGGGCCCCATAGGGAGGGGGCTCCCGCCTGAGACT